CACACACACACACACACACACACACACACTCAATGTGAGCATATTATACTTCAATGCATCTGGTTTTTCTTAATACCTCATGAAAATCTATCCAAGACAACTATGTGGCTCTAAATTATTCTTGTTAACAGCTGCAAATCATTCCATGCTTTGGCTATACTACTGCTCTAACGTGGATATTTTTCCCCCTAGGCTTTCATTTATCAACTATACCATAATAAACATCCTTACATTGTGCTACTGTTCCTTTGAAATAGGCTCCTAAGAGCGGGATTGCTGGATCAAAGGAGAGTGCAGTTCGTTTTATTCTCTCTACTTTTTAAAGAACAGTTGCTGCTAGGCTTTGTTCCTAATTTGCAAGCGACCTTGAGTACGCACTTTTCCTCTCTGGACCTCTGTTTTCTCACCCTTCAAGCAGGCATGTGGGACTATGAATGACCTTGCTTGTCCTTTACAGCGTGCTCTAAACTTCTCTGCTTCTGCGCCTGCGCCCACTGCCCTGTGTTTTGCTGCAGTGAAATGAGAATCATCACTACTGCTGACTCAGAAACAAGCGTCCTGCCTGTCTGAGTCTCAGAATGTTGGACCTACATTTTGCACACAGACTGGTTACTTAGCTGAACCACCAATTTCCAAGTCTGAACTCTACTGGAATGCTATGGTGAGGGAAGCTTGCCTTGATTAGTTTGTGTCTCCCTGACACCACCGTCCAGATGAGAACTAGACAATGCAGCTGATGACAAAGTTCTAAGCTTCTGTTGCGTATGTTGAGATTTACCTTCATCTACACAAAAAGTGCCTCAAAACACATGCATAGCAGCTTTTTCAGGATGTGTTTGAGCACTTTTTCAGGATGCTCCCAATTTTTTTTTTAATGATGATACTTGATTATTGCGCGCCCAAACCACTGAATCAGGAGGGGAAATGTTGCATAATGAGTATCTACTTTGTAAAGCTTTCTATTCTGTGCATGTTTACCCATATTAAACCTTCTGGACCAGGAAGAAAGAGCTGTTTTATTAGCTAAATCTGAGGGACTTCAAAAAGATGATTCTCCCAAACTGAATAATAACAGTCGCTTATGGGCCATAGCAGGCAGCATCCTCAGTCTAGGCACTTCACATGCAGACTCTCATTTAATCTGCAAACAACCCTTGCAGTAGGTTCATATTATCCTTATTTTGCAGATCGAGAATTTCCCCCAAGGTCACAGAACTAGGGGATAGCTTAGCCTGTCTGCAGAGCCCACATTCTTAGCACAGAACAACACTGCAGTGGAACTGGGCAGCAGTAGGCAAGTGGGACAAAAATCCTGCGTGGCTTCTTCACTATCTTGGCAACGTCGCCCAAGACCCACACTGAGCCCTCACACCCATGAACTGTAGAAGTTTTAGGTGTTTTACGCCTCCCATCTCAAAAATCGCCTGAGCCTCCACACAGGCGCTCACATTGTGTCCCGTGTGTGACGTGGACCAAAGTCCACACAGACCTGGCCTCAAATCCTGGCTCTGCCCGCTGACCTTAGGCAAGTTTCTTAGTCTTTCTGTCAAACTGGCCCGGCTGCTCTCTCTCGCCTGCTGCCCTGAGCAGGGGAGGAAGCAAGCGTCCGACTCACACCAGAGCGGGCGCTGCTGAAACACCTTTTCCTCTCGCTCCCTTCTCCCTTCCTAATGAGCAGGAGGGCAGCGTCTTGAACGCGCCAGGTTGCCCTCCAGGCCCACTTCTGTCTCCTTCCCGCGCTACAGTTCGTCCCCCTGTCTGGGCACAGTCACTGGTGTCAGCGCTGCCACCTATGACTTGTTTTTCGGTAGACTATCCCCCCGCCCTATACTACGTGGTGGACACGGGTTTTCAAAAATAGCTACTTATTTGCTTATCTTCAAAGGAGGGGAATGATCGAGGGCAAAATCAATTACTATTTTTCATCTTTGACAAAGTAATTAAGGCCATAGTGACTGGCTAATTCTGACCGAATGGCTGCACGGTGACGGATGCGTATTTATGGCCTCCTTGGAACGGCGGCAACGGCGGCAGCGGGATTATCACTCCAAACAGGCGGCCCTGGAGGGCGGGGGAGGAGGCTGTGTCCCGAGGACTTGAGCCTTTTATTCTAATTCTTTTCTTTAATATTGCGGCTCCATCCTTGGCGCTTTCTGAACCCTGACACACAACCATACGCACGACGAGCTGCCCCCTGGCCCCCTGGCCGGCACGCTCTCTCCGGCCCTCGCACCCAGCCCCGCTGCGGGGCTGGCGACCATCCCCCTGCCCCCGCGTTGGCTTCAGAGCGACCATTCGAGGCCTCCCCGCTCTAGACCCTCCTTCCGCTGTCTCCACGGCCCCTCCTTTATAGAATCTTGCGGCTGGAAGTGTGTTTGCGTGAGGGGAAGGGGGGGTAAGGTAGGGAGCCAAAGCAATGCCTATGCAAACGCCCCTCCCCCGCCCCGTCCCCACCCCCGCAGCCTTCTTTGCACGTCAACCACCTCTGACGGGCCTGACACGTGGCAGATCCCACGCAAGAACCCAAGTGCTGCGCACTTGGCTGGGACGGGGGGGCGGTGCGGGGGGGGGTGTCCGAAGGCGTAACGTCAGGCTTGAGGGCTGAGCGGAGGCGCGGGGCATCACTCGTAACCAGGGCGCAGCTGGGGGCGCTCTCCCCGCTCCCCCCGCAGCCTTGGGTGTCAGCGTGCCCCAGACTGAACGTCGATGAGCCGGGTGGACGCGCCACTCACATGCAGCACTTTGAGGGGGCGGCTCAAATGCAAACTGAGGAAACTGGCTAGAGACTCGTAGTCGTGACTCTCCCTAGTGGAAGTCGGCCCAGGGCCTGCGGAGGGAGGCCTTCCCGGACCTAGGGGTGCGCCTCGTGGCGCAGAAGTTGGGGAGCTGCCGGGCCTGCCTCGTACAGTTCTCGCATCCTGGTTTGGCTTAGGGGAAACTGGGGTCGGCTTCGAAAGAAGCGCCGGACAGCACCCCTTCGATTGTCCCGGTGGCTCCCAGAGTCCAGGGTGTTTCCTAGCGCCCACCAAGGTCTAAACACACGCCCCGTGGGATTCTCGGCCCCGCCTGCTCTCCTGGCCCGACCGGAGCCCACCACAGTCCCACCCCTGCCGGACCCTCGGGGTCTCTCTCTGAGGGCGCCTCCCGAGAGTTCGATGCACCACTCCACGCTTTCCGCAGCTGCCCTGTGGGAGGGGTTGGGAGATTTTCCATGTTCGAAGGAGACTTTCTGAGCCTCAGTTTCCCTAGCTTTGAAACTGGGCGTTTCCCAAAGGCTGTTGTCAAGACTAAATGGGATGGTTCATGGAAAACCCTGGCACAGTGGTTCAATATTAAGAGCTTAATAAGTGTTAACTCAAAACTACAATGAAACGCGGCCTGAAACCCGCAAGGCAGCTAGCTCTCAAAGAAGGTCTCTTCAGGGAACCCAGCCTCCTTCCATAATTGTGCGGACTGTGGGTCCCCAGCTGTCTGCGTTTGGAGCGGCCAGGAGAGCAAGTCAGTGAGCCGAGGCGTCCGAGCGTTCGCGAACAGCTCGGAAGGCGGCGCGAGGGGCCACTGCAGTGCCCCGGGCACTCACTGCAATCTGCCACCACAGCCTCCGCCTGCAGCCCCGCAGCATTATTCTCCCACTGCGTGGGGACGGCCCAGCCCAGCGCAACGGCGCCGACCCCGAGGCTGTGGGCCGGGGCTGCGGGCAGCAGGGAAGGGACAAAGTGCCTCCCCTAACTCCCCATCCCCAAGGCCAGGGATTATCCGAACCAAGCCGATCAAGAAGGAGGAAAGGAAAGCGGTTTACCTACGAATGGCCTTCTAGTCTCCAAATTACACCTTCGTAAAGGTGTTTTTCTTTTGATTATAGTCATTGCTTTGTATCAGAGGTAAAGTCCATCTTTTCATTGCCACGGCCACTCCCCAGAATGTCCTCCTGTGGCTTCCAAGATAGCCAGCCCTGCCTCCTGGGTGATGGGGGTCGTGACCTGGAGGGTCTCTAAGGCCTTGCGCGTTCCAGTCAGGCCTGGCTGTGGTGGATTTTTATTGTGAGGGCTAAGAAGAAAGAATGGGTCTCCTCTGACTTTGAAAGTGACCTAAGAACCAGGTCAGTGTTGGAGATAGTTTCCTGTTTCTTTCTCTAAAATATTTTCAGAGGAGCTTAACAAATACAATGAGAACAGTCATAACTTCACTCAGGAATTTCTCTTAATTGTGTTAATAGGGGTAAAATTGGAGTACAAATGCTCAACCTCCATTTTTAAGCGAAAACCCAGGACCCCTCTAAACCCTAGTTGTCTGGGAGGGTAAGACTATGAGAATCTCAAGTCCCAATACGCGCAGGTGGGTACACCCTATAAAAGGACCCATGTACACCAGCCACTGCAGAGCTGTGGCGCTGCATGCAGACCCTCTGTCGTTTTCGGAGTAATATTGTGGAATCTGCTGCTTGCAGATTTGGAGAGGCAGCTACGGGATCTACTATAGTAGAAGAGAAAGACTGAAATACGACAGTGCTTTAACTCCGTCCCCCGCACCTACCTCGGCAGCCCAATCCGCTCTGCTGGAGACTGCGCCTCGCCTTGGGTGCAGTGGGACGTGTCCCTCCCATGTTTCACTTAATTTGGGGGAGGCAAACTTCTGTCATCTCCTCCCGCCGGCTTCGGTTTAGTAATCAGACCCACATGAGTCACGCCGAACACGCAGCCCCCTCCTGCCCGAGTGACAACTGGCCAGCGTACTCTTCGTTGTTGTCCCTTTAAAACTCGAATCCAAGGGAGTAATGATTTATCAAACTTGTATTATCAAGAAAATGTCAAACGAAGGGCACCTTGCTTTGCACTGACGCAAACCTGGCCTTTCCCGAGGAGATATAGAAAGCGCCTCTCTTGCCGGAGTCAAACCCAGTCTTGTCAATAGCTGGTTTCAGTCTCTACCCATTCAATCTGTGTGTCGCCGGTGTCAGACATGGTGAGTGCTTGCTTTTGTTCTTTTAAGAGGAGAGGGGGCTGCCCGGGGGGAAGTGGGGAGGAGGGGCAGATTCGTTTTGAATACTTCTTTTGGAAATGTCTGTATATTTTGGAAGAGGGAGGGAGGACAGTTGTCGCAGCCGTGGTATCTGTACTTGTGAGCATCACCTGAGGTCTGAACTAGGTTTCCGAGGCTGTGGAGCTGAGAGGTTGGTTGCGTCTCCTGCCCGCGCTGGATTCCAGGCACTGTCCTCGGTGCTGAAATCAGATGCTAGTACTGAAGCGAGTCGCTCTGGGTCCTAGAGGTTATTGAAATAAGAATGCTTGCTGGACTCGAGGTACTTAGATTGGTACAAATTAAGGAGTTCTGATCTATGCGTTGGTGAGAAAGAAAGTTCGACGAGAGGAGTGCAGTTGAGGTGAAAGTAATAAGATTATTCTCACTGTATAATAGTAATTATTGGTACTAATATTTAGGAAGCCCTGAACGAGAACACGAGGGAAGACAGCCGAGGGAAAAACCAGTGCTGACGGTTCTTTTCATTTGAACCTCAGTTGGGGGAAAGCAAATGAAAACCAGTCGTGAGTTTTGGTCCCCAAACAAGTGTAGGGGCATGAAGGATATCAGACTACTGTGAATAGTTATTCCAGGTTGGGGGTGGGGCAAAAAACTTTGCACGTCCTTTGGCATATCTGGGAACCTGGAAGCGAATGCAGGTTGATAACAAATCTGGTTCCTGTCTTGTGCTTTAAGTCAGGTTTATTATTGTTGTTGGGTTGTTATTGTTGTTTTGATCACAATCCTTTTCCCTGCCTTTGCTACCTGGCGGGCGGGGATGGGTTTTGGAGCACTGGGATTCACACGACCGATTTCGCCTGAAATGCTCACAAGTGCCAGGGCATCAGCTTTGTGGCCGCAGCTTGTCTATCGCTTATGGGGGGGGGGAAGGCAATGTGCATTATTGAATGACAAAGGAAATGGGGCGGAAAATTAAAGAATCTTTCTACAGTGGTGATGGGGACATGAGCATCCTTCAGCCGTGATGTGAAATCCAAGGAGGGCGAGGAGCTCATGGCTGGAGGGCTCTTTCCACGCTCCCCCCACTCCAAAAAAAAAACAAACCCAAAAAAACCTCTCTGCCTCTTTTCATAGTTCTTCTCTATCAGGGAGGAGAATATTAGCTTCTTTATGTCATCTGGTTATTGACAAGACGGACAAATTAAAAAATACTGATTGCAGTTTTTCTTGGAGAAGGAAAAGAAATCCAGATTTCAATTCGTTCCCTAGAGATTGTGTCTGGACCTGAGTTGTGAATGTCTCTATACGTAGATACAGGTATTTTTTAAGGCTGCCTTGGTTTTTTTTTTTTTTGCACGAACTTCACGTTGTATTTACAGGACTGCGGTGCTCCCAAGGAAATGAATAAACAACCAGCCAACAGTCTGGATGTGGCGGTGGCACCAGGCCACCACGATGGCCGGTGTGCGCCCAGGACGAGCCCAGACCAGGAGCTTCCCGCGGCCGCCGCCGCACCGCAGCTGCATGTGCCCAGGTCCGCTTCCACCGGCGCCCAAACTTTCCAGTCCCCAGATGCGAGAGCCTGTGAGGCCGCGCGGCCGGGAGTGGGGGCTTGCAAACTCAGTAGCCCGAGGGCGCCGGTGGTCTCGGCGGCTCTGCGGGACTTGAGCGAGACTCACAGCGCTCAGGCCGCCCCTCCTGGGGGCACCGCGCCCGGCAACGCGCTGCATTGTAAGATCCCGGCCCTGCGCGGCCCAGAAGGGGATGTGAACGTGAGTGTGGGCAAGGGCACCCTGGAACGGAACAGTACCCCGTCGGTGGGCTGGGTGAATATGAGCCAGAGCACCGTGGTGCTGGGCACGGATGGGATCACGTCCGTGCTCCCTGGCAGCATGGCCACCGCTGCTGCCCAGGTAAGCAGGTCGCGCTCGGCCCGCACCACCTCCTGCTCCCCAGGGGTGTGAGGTGAGGCCTTGGAGGGTGCACGTGTGCTGATGGGGAGACCGGTTGGCAGTGCCAGGTAATGGATGCGGGAGGCAGCTTTGGTGCTTCGGAAGCTCGCACTGCGCTGGGGTCCCCAGTTCAGGCCAGGAGGGCTGTAGTAGTGACCCTGCAGGGGGATAGTGACTTATGGAGCTGCTGCTTCCTGTCCCTTCCCAGCCTCAGTGGGAGCGGAAATCAGGGTGCAGTCTCATTAAGCGATCGAGGCAGCTAGATTCCTACCTCTTTATGCACACAGGATTCCCTCTTCTGCCAATAACTGGGTCTTTTCTTTAATTTTCTTTTCTTAATTAAAAAAGAAGAAATGTAGAGAGAAAACCCCGGGAGAAATAACAGTTTAAGTCCTGTAGCCTTTTCACGGCGAGTTACCATTTACACATGAGAACTCATTTGATGAGGGGTGGGTTTATATGAGCCTGTTACTGAAGCACAAGCTTCAGAGCCTTTCCGAAACCCCGTACCTAATTCTGTCATCGCAATTTTGTATGTTTTCTTTTTCTTCAAGAGGATCCCTCTTAATATTATAAGCTTCAGGCTCCACAAAGCTGGAATCACCCCTGCATTTGATCCTTTATGTTCAACCAGAGGCATGAAAAACCCACAAAGCAAACCCCCTGGGCTAGGGATAAACAGCTATTACGGGTGGCCCCTTTCCCATATATGCTTCCGTCTTTTACCAACTCCCTTCAGTCTCTCTCCCTCCTCTGACTGATTTCTGCTTCTCTCTGTCCTGCTTCACCTACTTCAGCTCTTCCCGTCCCATTGCCTGCCTTCCAACTAT